AAAAAAAACTCAATCAGAGTTTACAAACACAAACCGTTTCCTTTTGTACATCTGTTGTAAGACCTCCTACATAACATGCCTTCCCATCAGCCCCTCCTAGCAGGTTTCCCGTAAACCCTTGTATCACTTCCTCATTCCTTAGCCTATGATCAGTCAGATATGGACAAGTGAATACTTGCACCTTCTTCCTCTTTTCTCATGTCTCCCTCCAACATCATATGTGGCTTTATTATACAAATTATACACTAAGTACTTTAATGCGAAAGGACTCACGCTACATGCTGCACTTTACATTTTCACAAAATAAGGGATTAATAGCAGCTTTGTGATACATCAGCAGTTCTTCGAGGTTTTGGGTACATGATGATACAAATGTTTCTAGGAAACGTGGCTCTTGTTTTTGTCTTAAACATCTCGTGTACTGATGTGTCAATATAGTAAAGTGGAGTGAGATGGTCAGATTACAATGGTGGAAAAAGTATGTGGATGTTGCATTTCAAAATGTTTGAATGTCATATCTACACTGAAATATGGATAAATCCAAAAAGTGTAAGATTTACTTTGAACCCGTTTTTACGCAGAAATTGCTTGTACATTTCACAAATAATTACAAAGAAATGCAAGTAACACACTGAATTAAACTTGAAACTTTCAGTAGAAAGACTGAAATAGTACTTACTTGGAAAACATACTCTAATAATGTGTTTACAACTCTGAAAAATCATATTTCACAGTTTATATTAAAGCTAAATCATGTTTTAGCTCAGCCAATGAACAAAGCAACGAATCATTTACTACATGATTCTGTGTTTTTGAACAAATTGGTTCAGTCAATGGATATATATGTGAATAAATGTGCTATCTTTCTTTAAGATAAAAGCTTTATATTCTGGTACACTAAAAAAATAGTGTAGGATGTGCATTTTCAAAGATTTTAATTCAGAAATTGCTATTAAATTTCACACATCATTACAAAGAAACAGCAAGTACATATTAAATGAAATGAAATAAAATTCTATGTAAAGACTTGAATAGTATTTTGTAAACATACTCCAATAATATTGTTTACAACTTTGAAAAATCATATTTGACAGTGTGCATGTATATACACTCTAAAAAATGTTGGGTTAAATATAACCCAACCGCTAGGTCAAAACAACCCAATAGCTGGGTTTGTCCCTTTTTAACCCAGCGCTGGGTTATATTTAACCCAGCATTTTTTAGAGTGTACTATAGCAATATAAGAGTATTGTAAGTTGTTTTGTTTTTTTGCGTCACCAATGACATTTCTTTAAACAAAGCTACAGTAGAAAGTGCAACATTTCTTCTTGAACGAATCATTTGCTGCTACATGATTCTGTGTTTTTGAACAAATCAGTTCAGTGCATGAATATACTATATGTCAACATATGTGCTATCTTTGTTGAAGATAGTTTTGTATTCTGGTACATTGAAAAATAATCTGGTGTAGTATTTAGTTTGAGAAAAGTAGCGTACATTTCACAAATAATTATGTGAAAGTTTAAAGTAGAAAGACTGAAATAGTATTTTCTTGAAAAAAAATGTATCATGTCACATTTGATCACTAATTGATCAAAAGAACAACAAAAGAAAGCACTACGTACATTCTGGTGCATTGAAAAAAAATGGTGTAGGATTGACTTTAAAACTATTTTCACTCAGAAATTGGTCAATTTCACAAACAGCAAGTAACACATTAAATTAAATGTAAAAATCTGTGAAAATAGTATTTTCTGGTAAACCATACTCCATCTTTACAACTTTGATAAAACATTTCATCACCATACACATACACAATTATTTCAGTGTATATAATGCAGTCAGCAACATTCAGATTTTTGTAAGGCTAGTAGTATTCAAATACTATTCTAAGGCACTGTCCATGTAAGCCAAGTGGGTTTGTGGACAACAAAGTGCTTATGTAAGCACTCAGGTCTGAGCGGCACGTGATGAGATGTTATGAGCTCTGGCTTTGAAGCTTTTGCAACAGAGGCGCTTAAAAGAGGCCATAATGAGGCCACACTTCCCTTACTGGCATTATGAGGCAAAGGGCACAGGGGCACGATTTCTACTTCCTGTCGTATCGTGTTACAACACAAGAACATCTGAAACTGCACGAGGAGGGCGTGTGGCACTGAACCATTGTCACCCTTAAACCATCATAATATTATTTAAGACCCACCATGATAAACACGTGAACTGTGATGAAGAGGCAACGGCTGTGATCATGCAGTTGCAATAAATGGCTAAATAAAACAACATATATACTTTATGAACTTTATAAAAGAATACAGTGAGATCTTTGGCAACGCTGTACTTTAGCTTGCATGGGTCTATGAGCAAACGATGCAGAAGTCATGACTAAACCGTGCAAACTATTAAGCCATCAGATCAGTGTGTTCTTTTTGTGTGATGGGTGGGTGTTTCCACATGGTGTCTGACAGATTTACACACTTGCACACGATATTCTCATCCAAACTTACTTCTGATGAGTATTACATTATAAACCACAACATAAAGCGCCCTGCTGAGAATGATTTTAGTCAACACTTTTAGAACACTGTAAAGTGTGAGGTAACTCTACTCTTCTGACCTACCCCTGTAGCAATACAATGGGATTTTTACACTGAGGGCAGTGTACACACACACACACACGTACACACACACACACACACACAGGTACATGTATGCGTGTGTGTACACAAAGATGAATTATTAAAATTTTTTTTTTTTATTATAATCCTTTTTACAAAAAGAGAAATAAATACATTTTATATAAGAAATGTCAATAAAATAATAATAGTAATAGTCATTCATTTATTAAATGTATCTACTAAATATTAATTATATAGAGACATAATGCTACAATTAAAAATAAATTATTTTAATAAATACATTAACTATTTATTTATTTACTTATTTATTTTAAATATAAAATAGTTTAAACACATAATGTGTATGATATACGCTACCTACATTTTATTTATGTTTTTGAAAGAAGTCGCTTATGCTCACCAAAGCTGCATTTATTTAATCAAAAATACAGTGCAATCAGCAATATTCTAAAATATAATTATTTTTTATTTTTTTATATTTTATAAAATATAATATTATTAGCTGTTTTCTATTTGAATATATTTTCAAATGAATTTATTCCTACGATACAAAGCTGAATTTTCAGCATCATTACTCCAGTCTCCGGTGTCACATGATTATTGTTGTTTTGCTGCTCAAAAAAGAACAAAACATGTAATATTATTATCAAAGTTGAAAACAGATGTGCTGCTTATATTGTTTGTAAAAACCACAATGAACCAATTTTTCTTTCTGATGAATAGAAAGTCCTTACTGACTCCAGACTTTTGAACAGAAGTTTATATATGTAAAATAGTAATTATTTTACATTTTCTTACATAAAAAGACACAAAGAAGACAATTGTTGACATACTAAAATATATTGAAATATTTGTAATTTATATTTTGCTTGCCTTTTCTTCTTTTTTAATCAGACTACAAGGCTACTTTTTAATGTCCATCAGTGGAAGAAGATCCTTTTTGCCCCCGTAATGGTGGGCAGGGTCAAACTGGACCATGATAACAAGTTGTGGGGTTTTGCTCTCAGAAGAAAACCAGGCAAGGCAAGGCAAGTTTATTTATATAGCCCGTTTCATACACAATGGTAATTCAAAGTGCTTTACATAAAATAAATGAAAAATAATAAAAAAAAAACAATAAGACAAGGAATTAAAAAACAAACAAACATTGAAAACACTTCAAAGTCTCTATTTGTTCTGCGTTTAATCTCATCGCTGCCTAGTAGAAACAACTAATATATTAAAGAGATCTCATTTGTGTTTCTCCTTCCGATGGGATGCAATGACCCTAGTTTTTTTTTTTCTCGCTTCATTCATTCATATGATTGTTTTAAATATAGCACATCTCAGAAGAGGAGATGGAGGGTGCTTCGGTTTTTCCTCAGTTCCTCTGCTCTTCCAGTCTCTGCCGTTGTGACCTACTTCCTCTCTTCCATGACCCACTTCCTGGACTTCCACACTGACCTACCACTTGCATCCGCCGGCAGTGCCAGTCTCAACCAGGCCTCTTGTATAACTTGCTGCCTGTGAGCGGTGTTCAATCTTAAACTGACACACACACACACTCACACACACACACACACACACACACACACTCACTCTCACACACACATACACAGGTTTACTTTTGTGAAAAGTGGGGACATCCCATAGGCGTAATGGTTTTTATACTGTACAGACCGTATATTCTATTGCCCTACACCAACCCTACCCCTAAACCTACCCCTCACAGGAAACTTTCTGCTATTTCAGATTTTCAATACACTCCATTCTGTGTGATTTATAAGTGTTTTGAAAAGTGGGGACATGGGGTAATGTCCTGAAGAGTCACCTTCTCCTTGTAATACCTATGTCATACCTTTATCATTATACAAATTTATGTCCTCATTTGTCTCAAAAACGCGTACACACACACACACACACACACACACACACACACACACCCCCTTTGAGGCGGATGGAGTCAGTGACTAACTCTCTCCTCAGTCTGTGGGTGGCGCAGACAGAGACTACATGTCCTTGGCATGGAGCTATTGTGTTCACACTCCTTATGGAAGGCGATATCAATGTGTCAAGCAGGCCTTGGGGAGGAACAAGATGTTCTCATTGAGGAAAAAAGAATCTGCTTTAGTTTATTTCATTAAGCTGATAAAATGAGCACAGTGACGTTTTATATTGATTCCAGACCTGTTATAATGGGATTTTATATATATATATATATATATATATATATATATATATGTACCTCAGTTTTGAATGAACTGCAAGGACAGGTTGAAAGAACACACTGAGATGCATTAATGTTTTAGTTTGGATTTATTATGTGGACTGTAAATGCCCATAGGGAAGAAATATTATAAATTAAATCTTTTTAAGAGAGTTGTTAGATTAACATTTATGCATTTGACAGATGCATTTATCTAGATGCATTTTACATTTAATAGGGATGCTGCTGGGTTTTAATATTTTTGGAATGACTATATTTAATACTATTGAATTTTTTATTGCCTAAAAAAATCCATTGCAAATAAATAATAATAAAAATAAATAAATAAAATTACACCATGCTCCACTAGTTGAGATGAAGAATTGATTTCTCCAGAATAGTATTGAGATTCAAATGGAGAGCAAACTAAGACTTTTGCAAGTATCCTGATAAAAATAATGCAGTAATCTCACATGTGGCTATCATTAAATAAAATGTTAAATTATAAAAAAATAATTTTCAGTAATTGAAATAAAGCTGAAATAAAATTAAAACATAAATATTAGATGAAAAAAAAACTTAAATGAAAATACATAGAAATACTGCCTTGGCAACTAACTGAAATAAGTTAAATTTGAAGCTTAAAATGACTCAAACTGAAATAAAAATGAATTAAAGTTATATATAGAAATATTTTTTAAAAACGAAAACTTGACAAGCACATAATTATTTTACTAAAACTTAAACTAACATTAAAATGGAAATGTTAATTAAAACAAACTATTAAAATTATGTTTGGTAGGCTTAATTGAAATAAAGCTGAAAAAACTAAAACAAATATTAGATGAAAAAACTAAAAAACTTAAATGGAAATAAATATTGCCTTGGCAACAAACAGAAATAAATTTAAGCTGAAGTACTTAAAAATTAAGCTAAAACTTAAATGAAAATTAATTTAAGCTGTCTTAAAAAAACTGAAAATAACGAAAATGACAAAAGCAATGAAAAATGAAAGTATAAAAAGTACAACTTAAATATTGCTTTTCTGATAAGTGCACAGGCCAAGTGCATGCCAATTTTGTGATTTAACAGAGAGATAATGCTCTAATATTAGTTTTTCAACATACAGTAGTAACATAATTTAAAGGGGAAATTGTGGGTTAATGTTGAGTTGAGTTGTGTTTTTAACAATCAGTTTGTGGTATGAAACAATCAGTTTTCGAAAAACATAAGTCTGCAAAAATCTAATAATAATTCGACTGATAACAATTTCAGTAAAAGATGAATATTGCAGCTTCGGTACAGTAGAGGAAACTGTCACTTTCACTCAGATCTAAGCAGAGCGCCAGAAATGTATGGGGGACTACTTCCATCAAGTGTTCAAATCGGGGAACTGCGAAAAGACACTTTCACCAATGCATTATTATGCACACTGGTTAAAAAGAGAATTAATCACGTTTATTTAATGTGGAAAAATAAACAATGGCATTATTTGTGAAATAGTAACATTATTTGGTGTACTGCTTTTAATTTATGCCCATTAAAAAAAAAAAAATTCAAAATAGGATGATACAGATATTATATCTGTATTGCGGCAATCTGATGAGAATGTAATGAGAATAATAATTTGGAATAATGGCAATTACAAACAAACGTCAAAGGAGGGGCGATGCAAAGTTCTGGAGCTTTGGTAGCAGGAATTTTTTGAATTTTTGGAATGCAGATACGAGACCCTTCTGTTAATGCATCAATCATGCAATAATTATTATTTTTCTGTATCTTCTGTATTACACTGCTGTCGTCTTTATGTTCTACAATAGGCTATATTGTGTTGTTCTGTACTTTAAAAGGCGTGTGCATTTTTCAAAACATCATTACAAGCAAAAATCGTTACACAGATTATAAAAATCTAAATATATATCTAAAAATGCGCGTCTTCGTCTAATAAACCTCAAACCCCATTGGTCCGCTCCCATGCACCTGTTCGTCATTTCAACCAATCACAGCGCGACCTCACGCACCTCCAAGATGGCGACGTCCATCCAGAACCGCTGTAGGCACAGCATTATTTGTGAAATAGTAACATTATTTGGTGTACTGCTTTTAATTTATGCCCATTAAAAAAAAAAAATTCAAAATAGGATGATACAGATATTATATATGTATTGCGGCAATCTGATGAGAATGTAATGAGAATAATAATTTGGAATAATGGCAATTACAAACAAACGTCAAAGGAGGGGCGATGCAAAGTTCTGGAACTTTGGTAGCAGGAATTTGTGGAATTTTTGGAATGCAGATACGAGACCCTTCTGTTAATGCATCAATCGTGCAATAATTATTATTTTTCTGTATCTTCTGTATTAAACTGCTGTCGTCTTTATGTTCTACAGTAGGCTATATTGTGTTGTTCTGTACTTTAAAAGGCGTGTGCATTTTTCAAAACATCATTACAAGCAAAAATCGTTACACCGATTATAAAAATCTAAATATATATCTAAAAATGCGCGTCTTCGTCTAATAAACCTCAAACCCCATTGGTCCGCTCCCATGCACCTGTTCGTCATTTCAACCAATCACAGCGCGACCTCACGCACCTCCAAGATGGCGACGTCCATCCAGAACCGCTGTAGGCACGTTTTTAAAAAATGTTTGTATTTTAAAACTGTATTTTAAAATACAGCAGCCATTCCAGTCTTCAGTGTCACGTGATCCTTTAGAAATCATTATATTATGCTGATTTTTGGCTAAAAATATTTGGTGTTCAATATAATATAATCTGTTATATTGTGAAATATTATTTCAATTTAAAAAATGTTTATAAAATGTAAACATTCACCTGACGAAACGTCTTTCTGAAAAAGTTGTATATGCTGAGATTGAAAATAATGCAATCTATGACCTTTATACAATGCATACTATTGTAAAGACTGTAAGTCTATCTCTTACAGCCTCGTTTTCTTTCGTTAAATTCAATATGGCATCTAACCTACCTGAATAAGGTTTATATGCTGATTTTCTGCTCCAGAAACATTTCTTATATGATTAAAAAAAATGTCAGTGTTCTTTGATGAATACGAAGTTCAAAAGAACAGCATATATTTAAAATAGAAATCTTTTGTAGAAATAAATGTCTTTATAAATCATTCATTTTTTAAATCAAATTAATGTGTCCTTGCTGAATAAAAGTATACATTTCTTTAAAATAATTGTACTGACCCCAAACGTTTGAAATGTAACGTAATAAAAAAAAAAATTAAGATTTTTTTTTTTAAATAATAATAATATGGTGATGTTGGTCTCACAATCTTTTTTTTCTGTCTTTTTACAAATTCCTGGACTTTAATGGCTTATCCATTGACAAAAAGTCATGCTTTTTTTTTTTGAAGCAATTCTCTTTTTATCAGTTCTTTGTCTCTGAAAATTTAAATGTGAAAGTTTTACTATAACTTTCATGGTCTCATACAGAAAATTGCTGCATTATGAGCAGTGCACAATGAAGATAATGTTTTAAATATGGATGGGATTCCCCTCTGGGAAAGATGAACAGGTTGAGCCGAAGCAGCCGTTATTGTTTGGGTGTGGTTGTGATGCCAGACTGTTTGAGTTGCTTGTTCGGGTGAACCTCATTTGGAGGACGCGCAGTGGGTGTGATCCGGCTGTAACATGAGTGGACGAGAGGTGTGGCCACTTTCCCAGCATTGATCTCATTTAACAGAAGGGACAGAGCATGCAAAAGTGATACTAGATGCCTCCACACAACCTTGGTGTCATCCTAGTCAAAATAACTTGACCTACAGCTGTAGAAAGGCACACGAAACGGTGTTCATTCACAGAGTGTGTCTTCATGTTAGTTGATAACTGAATTATAGACCTGTTTGATTCATTCTAATAGCATGTTAATGAAATTCTCAATGGAAATTATTAATCACATTGACAGTTTTCCCACTCTGTTAGCTTTTGTATGTAGATTATAGTGTGGAAAAGTCTTCTGTGTGTGTGTGTGTGTGTGTGTGTGTGTAACAGAAGGAACAGCATACATTTAAGATAAGGCTGCCCTCCGGGAAACTGCTCGCATACTCAAACACACTCCTTGCTCACAGCCCAATATTTAATGCAAATGCGAGCAGCTTGCTTACATATCTAGAAGTAATTTACCTTTTATTTTCTACTCGCATGAAAATTGATGAGCCGTATTTCAGCTGCATTGTGCTTTTGCCAATTATTATGTGGTCCCATTTGCACATAATGCATTTAGTATTGTGTTGAGTTCACAGAAAAGGGCCTTGTAACAACCATACTGTTAATTTTCCTTTCAACAATATGACCACACCTATGGCCCTGTGTTGCCCGTAAAAATTCTGCTTAGCACTGCAGTGTTTGAACTTCTCTCAGCATTATGCAAGATATTGCACAGTAACTCACAATAGCCTCTAATATTGTAGAGATTAATATTTATATGTTGTAGTGATGCGGAGGACCCTGTGCTTGGCTTTTAATTTGAGATGTATTTTTTGCTGTCAACAAGTACTAGCAGGTCTATCCTCCTGCTCTGGAATTGTTTTAAACTACCTCTGCATCTCCAGATACTTGTTTTTTGCTGTGTGTTTCTGACTAGGGCTGGGGGTTATATTGAATATTCAGAGTATATTTGCAGTATACAAATGTCACAATGATTTTAATGCAACTTTTATTTGGTTGTTGCTTTTTTCTAGAGGCAGTGTTTGGAATAATACAATCATATTCTTACTGTTTCTGCAGTATGTATTATATATTCTGTTCATAGTATGTAGGGCTGCACGATTAATCAAATGCGATTGTCATGCGCATTTTGTTAGTAATGCCGGTTCTGTAATCAGCAGTAAATCATCATCACGTGCTTTCAGATGGAGCAGAATTTACTACACACAGCCGTAGTTCACTGACAAGTTACGCAAAAAAATCGAAGAAATCGTTTGCGATAATGACAGCTGTTTGGATAGCTTCTCAGTGAACTACGGCTCTGTGAAGTAAATGCTGCTCCATCTGAAAGCATGTGAAAATACCACATTTAATAACATATTTTTACTCCAAACTCACTTCATAACGTCAGTCGAGTGTTTTAAATAAATCCTTCTGTGAGATGATATGGCTTCTTACACAGAATAAGGCACGCAACATATTTCATAGTATTTAAGCAGTGATAAAGGCATTGCATTATAAATATACTTTATTTTAATGAACATTATAATAATAAGAACTCAGATAAACCGTATATTGCCGTAGTCGTGTATTTATTAGTCATGTTGAATCAATAAAAGCAGTTAAATCTTCCGTTTATTCAGCTGCAGCGTATTTGGAGTTTCAGCGCGAGAGCGCCATCTGGCCTTTGGATGGAGATTTACTGCTGATCACAGAACCGTGCTTCACTGAAAGATATGCATGACAATCGCAGCTTCTGTCGAATCGCGATCCTGATTCCATTTCGATTTATCGTACAGCCCTAATAGTATGCAACTTTTATGTATGATTATTTGCCAAATGTCCAAAATAGTAATACAATTTATTTAAATTGACTTTCCATTTCTGTGTGACTGCTGTGATTCATGATCTGATTTGTTTCCTTAATGGTCTACACCACTCAGGTTTAAACTTAACCCTAACCAATCCACTTTTGATCAAATTAATGAATCCTTGCGAATAAAAATAGTATCCACCCCCAAAAAATATTTTTTGAATGGTAGTGTATGTAATGTAATGTAGCTACTATCTGAAACTGTTGCATGGACTACATTATGTGGAATGCAATAAGTTAGTATTCTGGCATGAAAACACCTGTGCCATTAACCTAGTTTCACTATCACTATGTGACTCAGAAGTATGAGGGCAAAGAAATGTTTTGATAGCATTTCTGATTTAAAGCATTGTTGTACTTTTCTGGTGCCTTTTATCTAATTTTAAAGGTTGATGTTCCCAGTCAACCTTTCTTTACATGGAAAAGTGGCCAGGATATTCCTTAGATTTTTACCTTTTTTATTCCATAGAAGAAGGAAAGTCATACGGTTTTGGAACAGCATGAGACTGTAAATACGTAAATATTGAGAGATGCATGTCAGGTACTGTCTTATGATAAGGCTGAAAATATTCAGGATCACCCAGTCATGTTTCTGACTCTCTTTATAGCACACATCAGCTTTTGTTTTTCTTAGCTTGCAGCCAGTATATGGAGCACAGCACCCTCCTCTGGACCCACGCAGACACCGTCTGTAAGTGTTGCTGCTAGCTGTCGACTGTCTGTGGGCAAATCAGCCATTTGTTTTTCAGTTATTTGTGCTTTACTCTTTATGTTTTCTGCCTTTCATTTGTGGTATGAATCCATCTGAACATGTTTGAGTGCAAGATTTGCATAAACCTTTTGCAACTTTTTTTGTTTATTTGTCTTGCATGATCCTTTCTAACTGTAACCAGTTCATATGTTATAGAGTGTGTGCAATATTGCCATTTTCAAAAAGCTCTTTATTTGTTTCCCTACAGATTAAAAGATACTCCAAAGGCCAGCAGTTTGAACACCAAATCCAAAAAACCTTCTACTTTCCACGAATTTGCTCGGAGCACCAATGATGCATGGGACATTGATGATGAAGAGGATGATGGTATGTTTAGTCTCAAACAGCCCTCATCTTCACCTGTCCAATCACGATCCATGCCTCATACGCCCTGCGTCAAACTCATCAAAGCCCCAGCGGACACAGAGTCACTGCCCCGCCCTCTGGACAGGCAGGACTCAATCAGCACAAACCTCGTTCTAGATCGACTGGACGACGAAAGCGGTCCAGCCAATGGCAGGGTGATAAAGTCCTGTAGCGACGCCCAGCTGAATGTTAATGCAGGTATGCTGGGAGCTGTTGTTTTTAAGCTGCACCATTGTAAGATGTAAAATGCATATAAAATCATCAAGGTGTATCAGATGTGGGTTTTTTCCGCCTACTTTACTGTTTGTTATATGGCTGGTATGGTTGTATAAATTACTTTTTGACCGTCTATTCACAGGCTGCTTGCAAGTAGATACTTCCAACCAAACGAGGTCTAAAATTTTCAGATAATGGTTGGTAAAACAAGTAACATTTTGACCATGCCTACCTTTTAAAGAAAGCTAGCTTGAGTTTATTATCCTCATCATAATTGAACATTTGTGTTGCTCATGTTTCATGAATGAGACCATAGGAAGAGTAATTCTTGTCAACAAAAGAAAATGTTATTTTTGTCTATTTGACTAAACAAACAACAACAACAAAAAAAAACATTATTTTAAGTAAAATGGACTAAAATTAATTAATATGACATGACAAAATATTGATTGAATTAAAGGATATTTTAATGAAACAACCAAAAATAATTAAGGGAAAAAAACTATAAAAAAGGGCGTGTTTATAATATATATCCATATTAAATTATTATGTTTTTATTTATTTAATACTACCTTGATTTAAAAAAAGATAAATTAACATATAATCCTATATAATAATAAATAGTTTTTCTTTGTGACATTTTAATTATCCGTGTTCATTTGTCCAAAGTATTTCAAATCTCATATCCCAAATCTCCAAAGTAAAGGGTACTTACAGCATTTTGTGAAATTAATATATTTTTATTCAGAGACATAGTAGAGAATCATAAGGAAATAAACTTCCGAAATCATTTTCTTAATCAGTATTTGTATCTTGTTTTTCAGTCAAACAAAATAAATTCACTTGAAGCAAAACTGTGTACGATATAAAACTCATTCATAATGTATTATTAAACACATACAGTATATTATAAAACTCCTGCTTAATAATATGTCTTGAATTAAGTTTATTTTTCTTACCCATCTGCAAATATTTTCTCTTCTTTTAAGCATAAATCTATCATAATTTGAGATTTATACTTCTAACAAGAAGCAGACAATGTGATAAGAAATATCAACTTATTTCAGGATATTGTCCCTGAAAACAAGTCTTGATATCTTATGCAATTTTCTTTCTCGAGTAAATATATCTTGTTGTAAGGATGTTTATAGATTTTACTGGAAAACAAGACCAATTCTGATTAAGAAAATTATTGGTTACACTTTACTTGAAGGGGTGTGCATAAGACTGACATGACACCTTCATAATCATGACATGACACCTACATAATTATGACATGACACATGTCATGAATATGAAGGTTTTTGTATGCATGTTTATGACAACTGTCATTAAGTGTCATTCGCTCAGTTATGTCATTTTTAATGCAAAGATGACATTGTTTGAGATGTCTTTGTTATGGGCTATGGTTAGGGGTAAGGGTAGGGTTAGGTCAAATAAGGTCATATTTGCATTAAAAATGTCATAACTGAGCGAATGACACTTAATGACAGTTGTCATAAACCTGCATAAAACCTCCTTCATATTCATTACATGTGTCATGTCATGATTATGAAGGTGTCATGTCAGTCTTATGCACACCCCTTCAAGTAAAGTGTTACCAAATTATTTTTATGGTGCATTAGGAGATAAACAGAATTGTGCAATAATGAAAGCCAAGTTCGAACGAGCATAGTTCACATGAGCGCCACAGGGAAAACATGACAGCAGGCCTCAACACAGATGCTTTTAAGCTGTTTGTCTAAATGTGCTCTCCAAACATCATGTTGACATCCCAAGCCATTGCTCCATCACCTATGAATCGTGAACTTCCCAGCCATTACTTTTAAAATCAATGTGCAGCCTCCTTCATATTCATTACATGTGTCATGTCATGATTATGAAGGTGTCATGTCAGTCTTATGCACAACTCTTCAAGTAAAGTGTTACCAAATTATTTTTATGGTGCATTAGGAGATAAACAGAATTGTGCAATAATGAAAGCCACGAACGAGCATAGTTCACATGAGCGCCACAGGAAAAACATGACAGCAGGCCACAACACAGATGCTTTTAAGCTGTTTGTCTAAATGTGCTCTCCAAACATCATGTTGACATCCCAAGCCATTGCTCCATCACCTATGAATCGTGAACTTCCCAGCCATTACTTTTAAAATCAATGTGCAACAATGGCTTGCTGTCTTATTGGAGTTACCATAATTCAAGGTGGCATGGTTGTGAAAACTGAATGTGTTTGCTAATTAAAAATAATTGTTTATTGATTATGTTGAGTGAGCTATAAGTTAGAGTGTCACCGGTCCTGTGAAGACCAGTGACTGTTGATTTAAAACATGATTTTCTAGATTTTCTATCACAGCATATGAACAAATTCTTATTGCATGTTTTAACTGCTGATTAAGACTCGGTTCATATACTTTAATTCCAACCCCCTCCTCCTGCTCATGCAGGGTTTTTTTTTTGTAACATTGTACTTTTGGGTCCAAACTGCAGTATGATTGTGTCATCAAGTTGAGTATTAAAAGCAGCTGTTCACCAGTGTAGGTATGGAACAACACCGCAGGAGATGCCAGTTTCACTGTGCTGTTGAATTATTTTTCATTTTAGATTAACTCTGCACTGTATTTTGTTCATTCAGAGGAGTTACGGAAGCATAGCTGGTCGGGAATCCCTCGTGAAGTTCGACCAGTCACCTGGAGACTCTTATCGGTAAGTATTTACTAATACTGTTGTTTATTTCATTTCTATTTTCACATTTTATTTAAACAAACAGCAGTGAGAGGACAAAAAACGATGTGAAAAGAGGGAAGAATTGGACTGAAATATGTTGCGAGCTGAATTTGAACTCCCATTGTTCACAGGCACCATCATACATGCCCTAACCTCTAGGCCACGGTTTCAACTCCTTCCAATACTTTATATTAATATTATTATTATATCTTAATATATCTGTTTTCATTGGGAAAATAATTAATTCAGTTTTAAACTACTTCTTGAAATTACTTATTTGAAATCAAGCCAAATGGATATTCATTTGAATGAAGAATAGAAAATACTGTAATAAAATAAACCATTTGTCAAGGAAAATATATATATAATTCCATGCCACTTTCAGTTTAATGTGTGTTATGGATTTGTTTTGCAATATTGGTTTTGCTGAGCACTTAATGTCAGCAGAATTGTGACTGTCATCATCGGAGGGGTAGAGCGGGCTGCTGTGTTGTGGCTGTATGTGTGTGGATGTTCAGGGACTGCTTTACAAGCCTCATTTACATTTCTGGTGCATGCTTACACAGTCAATAACACACACCTCCAGGCTAAGCTGTACAAGCAAATCCCCACCCAGACCCAGCTCCTCCAAGCTTTTACTGCTTTCATGCAATGTTTGCTGGGGGATTAGACAGAATAATTCCATATGTATAAAGTTACAGAGGTAGACGCGTGCAAAACGAATGCTAATGTGCCAAAAAACAAAATGTTTCATCTCCGCTTTTCATATTCAAATTGTGATTGTAAAGAGCGACTCTTGCTTTTTGTTTTTATTGGTCCACATCATGTTTGAGTTATGTCACCAAAGTGAATGTTTCTAGCTTCGATCCAAGTTTTACAGAACACAAACCTCACCAAGGCCTTCTCAGAATCGCATTGGAAAGCCGTTTTAAGATCATTTCAATTTTCAGCGTGGAATTTAATAGACGTTATTAAAGTTTCGAAGGGCCGATGATGGAGTGAAACCAAACGAGCAGAGTTTGTGCACTTCTTATTCGCCTGAAGCAACAGATGTGAGCTGCATCGAGTCGGATTCTGAATGTACGTTATCATTTATGTGTTCAAGCGCTCGGCAACTCTGTGTGTGCTCATTAAAACAAGAGTTGAGAAACAATGGGAGGGGAAGGCACTTTCAAAAACACCATTTTGTCATGACAACAATGTCTAACTGACAGTTCCACACTTCCACGTCTGCTCTACAAATAGCCTGCACTTGTTGTCTGCTCTTTCGGGAATCATCTGTAGTTACTAAGTATGTACTAGCACAATCACATCCTTTCTGAGTGTTAGTTTAGTAGCTAGACGATTAGAAGTTTCTCCCAGAGTTTGCTAAGGCAAGCATCACTATTATTATTGCTCATACTATACAATTATTGAAGCAATTACTTTATACAATCTGAATTACAAAGTTTTCTCGGTGGACAATATAACAGGCAAAGTTTTGCCCTAATGGGCTATATAATGGGTGAAAAACCCATAGACTTGCATTGAAGTAGGGACCCAACGCTACAGTTCAATAAATGGATCAAAAGTGATAATTAATTTATTTTTCAAAGATTCCAAATAAATGCTGTTCTTCTGACCTTTCTATTCATCAAAGAATCCTAAAATACATTATCACAGTTTCCACAAAAATATTAAGCAGCAAAACTGTATTCAACATTGACAATAATGAGAAAAATTTTTTTTGAACGCTATTAAATTTGCATTTATTTCATTCCATGTGCTTTCTCTCAGGGCTATCTTCCAGCCAATAGGGAACGAAGGGATCTGGTTCTTCAGAGGAAGAGGGAGGAGTATTTTGGCTTCATCGAGCAGTATTACAACTCCAGAACAGATGAGAATCACAGTACTAGCACAATCACATCCTTTCTGAGTGTTAGTTTAGTAGCTAGACGATTAGAAGTTTCTCCCAGAGTTGTAGATTTTATTTTTGTGTTCTGTGTTTCTTAGTTAGTGGTGTTTGCTAAGGCAAGCATCACTATTATTATTGCTCATACTATACAATTATTGAAGCAATTACTTTATACAATCTGAATTACAACGTTTTCTCGGTGGACAATATAACAGGCAAAGTTTTGCCCTAATGGGCTATATAATTGGTGAAAAACCTATAGACTTGCATTGAAGTAGGGACCCAACGCTACAGTTCAATAAATGGATCAAAAGTGATAATTAATTAATTTTTCAAAGATTCCAAATAAATGCTGTTCTTCTGACCTTTCTATTCATCAAAGAATCCTAAAATACATTATCACGGTTTCCACAAAAATATTAAGCAGCAAAACTGTATTCAACATTGACAATAATGAGAAAAAATTTTTTTGAACGCTATTAAATTTGCATTTATTTCTTTCCATGTGCTTTCTCTCAGGGCTATCTTCCAGCCAATAGGGAACGAAGGGATCTGGTTCTTCAGAGGAAGAGGGAGGAGTATTTTGGCTTCATCGAGCAGTATTACAACTCCAGAACAGATGAGAATCACCGAGACACTTACAGACAGGTAAAACTCAACCCAGCCTGCTTCTGATTATGTTCTGAATAGAAAAGTGGAAGAGTTGGCTGAAATCAACCAATTCATTTCTGATCCTTTCGACACAATTTCTAAGAGTAAGAGAGCACCTTCATCAATCCACAAGTCTTGCTTACAAAGCAGGCTTGAGGAGTAACCAGACATTTGACACAGTGTTCCATAATTAAGATCCAAATATTTAATGGTTCCATTACAGTTGTTTGAAGTACCTTTACATTTTCAAAGTATTCAATTTTGTTTAAATGTTGTTTTGTTTTGAGGTCTTAATGTTAGGTAAGGATGTTTTAGGAAATTATATGCTGAAAACATTTTATTCAAGTTTATTGTGTACATTATTATATCTAATGGCAATGTACGTACCATCATGGTGTCAGTTATTACAAACAGCGCATAAACGGGAAATGCTTTGTTTGTTCTAATGGACAGCATGTCACGAATGCCGTCCATAGACATTATGTTGAAAGCAACCCAGAATATTTGTTTAAATCCAGGTTATCATATGTAAACCTACTTGCTGTTATGGCATGAAAACAGATAATGCATGGGTGAATTTCAGTGGAAAAGGATCTCGTAAGATAGTTTGCAAGATTACAGATATTATGTTTTTAAATTCCAAATATTATTTGTTGAATGTCGGTTCATTTTGCTATTACAGGGCTGCATTGCAGTGTTCATACATCCCTCAAAACACATCTGATTTGTGTTATGTGAACATGACAGTAAACCTGCTTAATTGGACAGGGCTTCTTTAAGACAGACTAGTTGATTTGGAAAAACCCTAAAAAAAAAACTTTCATTTGGGGTCGGTAAAAACCTTATGCTCATCATGGCTGCATTTAATTAGTCAAAAATACTGTGAAATATTATTACAATGTAAAACAGCTCTTTTCTATTTTAATATATTAAAATGTAATTTATTCCTGTGATGCAAAGCTGAATTTGCAGCAGCCATTGTAAATTTCAGTCTGTTCCTAACACAGACCTCATCGTATGACCTCAGAAGACTCGTTATGTAGTGCACAAGACTTTTGCATCTTTTCTTTGAAACCTAAATGTTTTAGATTTTTGATTTAAGGATGATTTTTGGGTGAGCCATCCCTTTAACCACTAGGCTACACCAGCTGCCAGTCAGTTGAGGAACCTCATCATCTCTGCAGTGAGTCAGTCAAGGTTACACCTGCTTCTAGAAAGCCAAAACAGTAATACGCCAGATTTTGTCCTGCGTGTTATTAATGGGGAAGAAGGGGGCCGGGATCAATATTCTTATGGGCTGTAAAACTCAGGTTAATGGTGCAGGACTGGTAGTCGATTGCTATGCGCTGCCTTCTCTCCTCTCTTGTCCGGTTCCTCAGGGCTTGCTGGCTCCCAGCCCCTCATTTCGTCTACTGCAATACAAATCGGACACAGACCTTTAAAAGGATTTATATGGTCATACAGAACCGCTGGACTGGCCCCTGGCTGTCTGGGCAGAAACACTAAATGACCTTTTAGTGTGGTCACAGTCTGAGAGGGCGAGGAATGGCGGTGAATACGAGCGAACCGCACTTCGGTGGCCTTCAAGTGACCTGCATTACTACAAAGCCATTTCTTCAAACATAAGTTGGAAGTAGAAATAGAAAGAGGGAAGAAAATAAGAGAGAACCAGATGAAACGGAAGGGTCGCCACCTGTATGTGCGGCTGGACGCTGCGCTGTCCGCTTTCCAACTGGATTCATGCAGGTTTTGTGTGTAGCTTGTTATGAAACCAGATCGATAGCGTGTGCAGTTTGGGCCCTGATGGTTTTCTTTCATTTACTGGGAGGGAAAAGGCACATGTAACTCAATTTAGTGCTTTTGGGCCATATTGATTTAATATCTTATTTTGTCCCCAGTCACCTGTGTTCCTGACATGCTGGTTCGGTAACTGTTTTGTGTTGGTGTGCATTTGAGCTAACCTGTATACACCTGTGTGTGTCTTTCCATAGATTCACATCGATATCCCGAGGACGAACCCTTTGATTCCTTTGTTCCAGCAACCGCTGGTGCAGGAGGTAAGTGATCTTCTGAGGCGACAACACCTGAGTCTCGCTGCAAAGCGCACCTGTGACAGACCCACCAGCGTCATACAGACATCTGATCTCACACAACAGGCACAACACACTTAATGTAATCATAAAGATAAGAGAGTGAATCACCCACATGGTCACTTTTCAAAATTTCATGAATTTTATATATATATATATACACACATTTATAAAAAAAAAAATATATATATTTATTTTGTGTGTGTGTGTGTATGTATATATATATATATATGTGTGTATAAAATATAATTGGTCTTTCTTTTAACTTGGGGATGAAATATGATCAAGACATATCCTTGAAATATTTAATGAGCTTCACTTAAGAAAAGAGCTTACTATTCCTTTCTGTGTTTATTTTTACGTACTTTGTTTATATTCATATTTTTTTGTTTTTAGAGAGAAGCATATTTTGTCCCAAATTATCATTACTCATGAGAGTGTTTTTAGTATCCATTTCCATTTTCCTCAGTGGTGATTTTCAATAGAATCGAATTAATGTAATATGATGTTGTTGTTTTTTTTGTTTTTTTTTAACTGGCGTACATGACAATACACCATTACTGTAATGCAAAACATTTCATCGTTGCAGTGCATTTAAACAATGACTTTTAAGCACATTTTTCTTCCAGTTCTCATGTAAATAATAACTTGATACAAAATATAGTTTGTCTTTCTTTAATTTTGGGGTGAAACTGGCGTACATGACAATACACCATTACTGTAATGCAAAACATTTCATCGTTGCAGTGCATTTAAACAATGACTTTTAAGCACATTTTTCTTCCAGTTCTCATGTAAATAACTTGATACAAAATATAGTTTGTCTTTCTTTAATTTTGGGGTGAAATATGACCAGGACATATTCTTGAAAGGTTTCATGAGATTCACTCAAGAAAAAATTCCGTTTCTTATCAGTGTTTGTTTTTATTTATATTCATAGTTTTTTGTTGTTTTTGTCTTAAATCGTATATAGATATTTTGTTTGTGTATATACATACATACATGCATACATACATACATACATACATATATATATATATATATATGTAAGTAAGTAAGTTATGGTATTTTATTCCATTTTACCTAATAAAATGTAATATAATTTTAGTTAACAAAATTAAAATTTTATTGAATTCAAATATTTGCGCACAAATGTATAAACATTTAATTTTATTTGACCTGATGTATCATCAGAAAAAAAAAAATCATCATTAAAAAACCCTTCTCCACTGAATATTTTTGTCTAATTTCGCTGATGATGATCTCTGGATAGGTGTTGCCAGCACGAGTTGGTTTAACTGAGTTTTGTGTCGTTGGATGCTTACCAGCAGGAGGTGCTGTGGTGTTTTTAACTTAGGAGTGTGCAACACTTGTAACCCATAAACCACAAGGAACTTGCACTTAAAATGCAGCTGCGTTTGAAAATACAAGCCAGTTGGTCTGTCGAGGGTGAATTAAGCAACATCAATTAAAAGTCAAAAGTCTCCACAACAATCACAGTTGTTACGAGAAATGAATCATTTTTGTTAATCAGTGAAAGGGATTGTCTTGTTTTTCAGGTGTTTGAGCGGATTCTGTTCATCTGGGCCATCCGTCACCCCGCTAGTGGATACGTGCAGGGCATTAATGACCTGGTCACTCCCTTTTTTGTGGCCTTCCTCTCTGAATTTGTGGGTAAGTGTCTAATGACCTTCCACATGGATCAGTTGGTCCGCTTGACTGATAATACACCTCTCTGAATGTGTCCTTTTGGTTGAGCACATCAGTTGTGTTTGCTTCGCTAATAGTGCACTGACGTGTATGATATGCCAGAGCCAGGGAGATGCAGACAGTCCAGTATCTGACAGATGATGCTTGGGAAATGGTTGTGTAAATGTAAACAAACTGACAATATCCTGTGAAAATGTCAGACACAAAAATACAGAATATCAATTATCTATGAAAGAAACTCTGAAAGACAGTCCGTGAGAGAGAGACAAATGGTGAAAGAGGGAGACAGATGGAAAGGGTGGCAGACAGAAACAGAGAGATGGGAACAAGACGGGTAGACGGTCAGAGAGAGAGACAGATAATGTGATGGACAGAAGGATAGATGGAGGCTATCTGTCTGTCTGTCGTTCTATATAGTTATATCTCTCTATCGCTCTATCTGCTGTTCTGTTTATCTATCGTTTATTCAGTCTAACGTTATATCATTCTCTTTCTATCTATCTTTTTAGCATTCTCTCTGTTCATCTTTCATTTTGTCATTCTTTATGTTGTTCCATCTATCGTTCTATCGATTGTTCTGTCACTCGTTCTATCCATCTATCACTCTGTCGTTCTATCTGTCTGTCTATAGATAGATAGATGTATAGATAGAGGGAGAGATGAAGACAGACAGATAAAGAGAGACAGACAGGGAGGGAAATAGACTCCAGCTCTCATCCTCATTGCTATTCTCCCTCCACCCGGCAGCCTTCCCCTCCCTTCCTTATTTATTTCCTGTCCTCTCATGTGAAGGTTAATTACTTATGGATAGTTAAGGATTACAGATGAACAATAGGAGGCTCATTGATCTCTCCGGTGTGCCTCTGCTGCAATGTCACCAGTGCAAACACCAGGACATACCCACAGATTACCTGGATCACCAATCGATTTCTCTTTTTCTCCCCTGTCTGTCTGTCTCTCTCTGGCTGTCTACCTCGCCCACCACTCTCTCAGTCTTTTCCTCATCCCTCTGTTTCTCCACAAAGCTCATTTAGCGAAAAGCAGATTTTTCATACCGATGAGTTTGTGTCATTCTGCAGGGCCTTTCTATCTCTAATTTGTTTGCGGGCCGTGTAAATATGTGTGTGTGCGTTTGGCATTCACCGCGTGTGTGAGCGAGCGACTCAATGCCGCAGGTTGAATGAGCCGCATTGATCGGCTGGATTTAAGTGTTTACAGAGGCTTGCGAGGGTGCCGAGCACACGGTGGGGGGCTCGACCCACTGATCGATACATCTGAACGAACGTCATGATCCCAACACGCTGCCAGAGGGAGATAAAAGAGCGAGGTTAGTGCCCTCCCTCTGACGCGAGTTCGCGGGCTCTAACGGCTTCGTCTGCTCTCATACGCAGCGTTTTGCCAACTTTCGCTGTGCTGTTGCTCTTGGCCGGCACGCCTCACTGGCTTTCTAGGGCTCCTCTGCGAGCTTTTTAACTTTCTGCTGAGACTGTCCTAATACAGTAAAAACAGTAATGTTGTGTAATATAAAAATAGAGAAAAGTTATTTTAAATTATAATAATATATTTACATTTTTATTTATCCCTGTGACGCCAAAGCTGCATTTTCAGCATCATTACTCCAGTCTTCAGTGTCACATGATCCTTCAGAAATCATTCTAATATGCTGATTTACTGCTCAAGATTTGATTTCTCTTTATCATCAAAGTTGAAAACAGTTGTGCTGTTTAATAGTTTGTGAAAACCGTGATGCATATTTTTCCAGGATTCTTTGATGAATAAAAAGTTTAAAAGAACAGCATTTATTTGAAATAGAAATGTTTTGTAACATTATAAATCTCTCTACTGTCACTTTTGATGGATTTAATGCGTCCTTGCAAAAGTATTAATTTATTGAAAAAAAAAAAAAAAATCGTACTGACCCCAAACTTTTGAACGGTACATGCGTTTATTCGTCTAAAAGTTTACTGTTGACAGTCAGTTTGATTTTGTCTCTAACCACAGACCTCAGCAGCAATTGTGAGCGTGGTCTTCAGCATGTGGTCCTCGGTTAAGTATCTACGGTCGTTCGAGAGCATGTATTCTTCATTGTGTCTTCAACCTTGGATCTGACCTTCTTCTTAACTATATTTCAGCTCTAATGTACTGCAGTAACAGATTGACTGAATTGCTTTGCCGATGCGCAAGCTGCATGCAAACATGCCTAGAGCACGCTCTCTCTCTTTCTCTTTACTCAGTGCTTCATCAAAATAGCTCTGTGTCCTTCCTTCCCCTCCCCAATCCCTCCATCCTTAAGAAACGAGCAAGAGAGAAATCAAGAGATGGAGGACTTACATTAGCTGTGCGGTAGGTGCGTGGAGTGGCACACAGAAGTCTCTTCCAGCCAGGTCTGGCTCTCTGGGGCATAATGTGTGTGTATCAGCATCATTTAGCACATACTGTTTAAAGAGTCGGGAAAGGTCATGGCTGCGAGGGGAAGCCTGCGGTGGGAGGGAGAGGGGTGAGGAAGTGAGTTGATGAATGTGTTGAATAAAGAATGCAGTTTGCCGGCTAATGATCTAATGGCTTCGTGGTGTCTGTGCATACCACGCACGTCACACACCAGAGCTGCTGTTGCCTGCAAGAAAACAAAGACTGCTGAGAACACCTGCAGCACGTATGTTGGTTTGATCTGCTGGTGACCAGTGTGTGTGTGTGTGTGTGTGTTGTGTGTTCTTTTCCATAGAGGATGACGTGGAAAATTTCGAAATGGCAAGCTTGCCCCAGGATACACAACGCAACATTGAAGCCGTGAGTTGATTAATGTGTTGAATAAAGAATGCAGTTTGCCGGCTAATGATCTAATGGCTTCGTGGTGTCTGCATACGATGCGTGTCACACACCAGAGCTGCTGTCGCCTGCAAGAAAGCACAGACTGCTGAGAACACCTGCAGCATGTGTGTTGGTTTAGTCTGCTGGTGACCGAACATGAATGTGTGTGTGTTTTGTGTGTCTTCTTTTCCTTAGAGGAAGACGTGGAAAATTTCGAAATGGCAAGCTTGCCTCTGGATACGCAACGAAACATTGAAGCCGACAGCTTTTGGTGCATGAGCAAATTGCTGGATGGGATACAGGTATTTGATTCACTTGAGGTTTGACTGGTTAGATGGGAGATGTCATAACCGTCTTTCTACAGTGATTTCCATTCAAAAGTAGCCATTCATGCTTATTTTTTTTTTTTTTTTGCACAAGCAGTTTATAAATCCTTACTATTTGATTTCACCCTTGTCGTTATAGTTTTCTTTTTCTTCCTCTTCTTCATAATAATAATCTTTATTGTTACTCTGAATATTTTCTAGATTTTTTTATAAACATGTAAATTCATATATAAATAAATGTATCATTAAATTTCATTCATGCATCATCATTTTTCTTATTTCTTTCTGCCTTCCTATTCTTATCCTTTTAATTGTGTAACATTTCTATTAATAATAATCTTTTTTTATTGTTGTTACTGTTCTTATTTTCTTCAAAGAAGGCAAAATTTTTATTTTCTTCAATAATAATAATTTTACTGTTATTTTTTATAAACATATGTAAATATATAAATGTATACTAAATATATACATTTCTAATTTATACTTATTCAAAATTATTTTTCTTCCTCTTCTTTTCCCTCCTCCTCAAAATAATAATAATAATATTAATAATCCAATTCAAAATAATTTAATCTTTTTTGTTGGTGTACTGTTACTGATATTTGATATAAATATATAAATAAAACCATTTTCAAAAAAATACATTTAATTTCATTTGTGCTGTTGGCATCATCATCTTAATTCTATTGTATATTTCTTAATAATTATTTTATTTTTATTTTTTTTATTTTAAGGAGGCAAAATTCAAATCCCATACTTCACAAAGTTCAAATAAAAAACATGATGCACCAGCCAAGCTACTGCCATTAAGACAGTAATGGTAATAGCTTTCTCCAGGCATTATAGACCTTCTTGGTCCATCCTCAGTTTCCTGAGAATAGTATCTCAGTATCATCATCTTCATCTCTTCTGTGTCTTTTTATTAAAACTAAACCCTGTAGTGGTCATCCTGTCCTTTTGTTCTTTTCCAAAAGCCAGAGGCAAGTTGAATGCAATGCAATAAAAAAAGACACTCTGACGGACCGAAAAAAGGTCCTGACTTTGTTGTGCTTAAGCCCCAGAGGATAAGACACTTAGCGCCTAGGGAAGAGAAACATAAAAACTTGGAGGGGAAGTTAAAGCTAGGACGTTTAAGCTAGGGGGATTCAGATTCAGGCTGTGTTCCCTTGAGAACGGCCCTCTGTTAGAGTGAGGCGAGCGTGTGAGGGCACTCATCTGCAGGCGGGCGCAAAGGTCAGATGCAGGCCGCAGTCAGGTTGTCCCGTGGGCCGCTCTGTGATGTGCTCATTGGCTGAGTGGAGCCGAGCTGAAGGGCAGAACACGCGCATGGATCAGAACACAGAATGTGTCTTCCCATGCAGTCGTCCCCCTGGGCTAAAACACACAGCAGACGGCCACTGGCCCTTACTGACCCACAAGGGATGAGGAACAGAGATAGAGAGATGGAACTACATAAGTTATGAAATAACTATAAATGTGACGTTATAGTGCCTACAGTTCATTAGTTTATTTTTTTACACAAGCAGTTTGTAAACTTGTCGTTACTATTTTTCTTTTTTGTAAATTTTTTTTTTGTTAAATTTTAATTTGTCGTTTTTTTTAAATTATATATTTTTTTTCAACTCTGCTTCAGTTCAACCTTTCAACATGCAGCCAACTATTTTTTTTTTTGCAAGCGGTCTATAAATAATATTTATTTGTTTGTTTGTTTATTTAAGTGCTCTTAAAAGCATTTTTACAGGTTTAGTTTGAACAATTACCACAGAATAAAATGTGCCCTTCCATAACACTAATTGCAGTGCTTATCATGTGTAGCATGATGCTTGTACTGAGCGATTTAAGCTCTTATATACATCATGTGAAAGAGCCTTAACAAGTTGACAGAATAATTGTTCCATGTTCTAAATTCTGCCTTTGTTTTTCTCTATCAGGACAACTACACATTTGCCCAGCCTGGGATACAGATTAAAGTCAAGGCGCTGGAAGAGCTCGTTAGCAGAATAGATGGTAAGATCATGTTGACGAACACATCATCTACCAATTCCTTTCACGCTGCATAGAATTAAAGGAATCGTTTGTGCCAAAATAAGAATTTCGATTATTTGCTCACGCTCATGTTCTTTAAAAAAAAAGATCTCAGAACTACTAAATACTGAAAAAATTGTTTTAATTGAATAAAAATTCAATATTCTAAGGTTAAATTCCCATTTGGAATTGAACAGCCCCTGGTCACTGTATGTTTTCATTGAGAAAAGAGCAGTGTGAACATTCTTTCAAATTTCTCATTTTGTGTTACTATGGAAAAAAACAATTTGCAACAACATCAGAATGAGTAAATTATTAAAAAATTTTAGTATTTGGGTGAAATGGTTGTTTAAAATGTTTGGGGTAGTTGGTCCAGGTCGCCAAACAGGTTACCTTTGAAGCTACTTGAAAAAAATCACACTCTTTTTGCATTTTGTTTTTGACGTTTTGACAAATCTGTACTCGTAGATATATTTATTTATTTTGTCAGTTGTTGTAGCTGTTGTTCTGTTGAGGAGCATAAAAGTTTTGACCGGTTTCTATGAATGGTTCAAATGTAGTCGTCAAAGCTGCTTTAGGCCCAACCGTGTGCCGCTTTTTGCGATGCGTCAGATTTTTATTTTATTTTTTGAACACCCTCAGAAGCTTCAGCACGAATAACACGTCATGACTGCCAGAACCAGAACCAGAACCAACTGGCAGAGTCTGGAGTCCCTCAAATGATCCCATCTATTTTGCCCTCCAGAATGATGTGAACTAGTTGTCTCGGACCTTAAATAGCAGTGCAAAATGTTCAAAACAACAAGGAGTTGTTTTTCTGCCAGGGTGCGATCTTGTTCATCGCCTTGGAAAAGACTTGTTTTCCCATGGTGTTGGCCGTTTCTGTTTCTTGGAATCACACGTTTCCATTATGCCACTAGTCCGCCTCTGTTTTTTCTCCTTGAGAGTGTTTATACCATCTGGTTGCCTCCTCCCCTGTTCGCAGTGTTTGGTGTGATAAGCTGAACAGCCCACACTGAAACTCTCGGTGAGAGCCGCCGCGCTCCTCTTTCCCATCCATCAGCATCCATGAGCACCGTGAGCAATACCAGACCCCACAGTCTCACTGGGGGGCACAGGAGAGAAATCAATTCCCCATAAGCCCCTGCGATTAGGGTGTGAAGGCAAACGGAAGTGAGCTTGAGTGGAGTGGACTGAGCGAAGGGAAAACAAATCGCACTTTCAGAAGACTATAAGAAAATTCACTAGCAAGTCGAGGTTTTTTTTTTTTTTGTGAAATTAGGAAAATGAAAAGCTGAAAATACCATTCAGCTTGAAAAATAAGCTTCGCTGCGCATAATAATAATAATAATAATAATAATAATAATAATAACACCCTTCTTTGAATCAATGTTAACTGTTCACCTTCCCTGTTTAACATGTTAATATGTTATGTAATATATAATTTAGCATATTATTGAGTATATTTAACAGTCCTTAAGGCTGGTATTGAATGTGCTTGATGACTATTAGTTATTTTTAATATATTTTTATATATATATAAAATGATTTTGAATGAAGTGTATCTTATGCTTGCCAAGGCTGAATTTATTTGATGAAAAATACAATAAAAACAGTAATATTGTGAAATATTATGACAAATATTTTGATAAGCTATTTTAATATATCTTAAGAAGTAATTTATTGCTGTGATGTAAAGCTGACTTTTCAGCATCATTACTCCAGCGTTCAGTATCACATGATCCTTCAGAAATCATTCTTATATGATGATTTGCTGCTCAATAACTAATACTCTTTATTATGCATACATTTGTAAACCATTATAAAGACTAAAAGAATTGGGATGCTGTCCAAAACATTTGCTATTGGTGTTTTTTTTTTTTTACTGCACACATTTACCACGGAAGACCAAGAAACAAAAAAGATTTGTAAGATATTTTTCAGAAAATGACAGTGGTTTCAATTTTGTGGCACAAGAAATTGTTTGCAAATATTTTATACTTTCATTTTGCTTGCTGGAATCGGAATCATTATGAACAAAACTTTTGTTGTTTTTTTAAAGAAGTGAATTTGTGATAATGTTCAATCCTCACACCAATGACTCACTCCATTAGTTGAATCCATTATGATGCAACCCTTATGTAACATATCGAAGATCATTCATTGTTAAAACCTTTTTTTTTTTTGCTTTTATTCGTGGCAGGAAGAGTTTCCATTTTCCTTCTGATAGCTCCGACTTCAGTTCTCAGTACATTCAGAGACCCGTCACATTTTCTCCATCAATATTTATCAGGAGTCTAGTCAATACAGCCACTTTCGAAAGCCATTCTTATTCTGGTCAAATGCTGAACGGGAGCTTATCAGAAAAATCCCTCTCTCAATGAGCTAAGCACCAGGCCTACTTTTCCCTTCCACCCAAACTCTCTCTCGCTCTCTCTCTATTCAATCGAATATAATTCCACACACATTAGGGGTCTATAATGTTAATTCAGTAAAACAGGTGTGGGGAGAATTCAACAATAGCTGGTGATCTTAGTTCAGGGCCAGAGTGCTTCTTTAAACAATGGGGGTCTATACATGGTTTACAAAAGCTACTCCCAGTGCAGCACTTTACTGAAACTACCAGCAAATAGATATAACCCCCCTGTGCTTTCTTCTCTACGCCCACAGAGGATGTCCATGTGCACTTTCAGAAGTGTGAGGTGGAGTATCTGCAGTTTGCATTCCGCTGGATGAATAATTTACTGATGCGGGAGCTGCCGCTGCGCTGTACCATTCGCCTGTGGGACACCTACCAGGTACAGCTGCACCAACACCAGCCAAAACATGTCGGAAAAGCTTTCACGTGTGCTTGTCTGTTAAATTTATGTGCCATTTATCTGATGATTTTATTCAAAGTGGCCTGGGGTTAAGTGTCTTGATCAAGGACAATGGTGATGGTTCATGGGTCAGCTATGTGTTTTAACCTGCAACCTTTTGGTTACCAGCCCAGAACTTGAACCTCTAGTGGGAGTGTACTTAACTGTGCTTAGGATTTGTTTTTCAATTCGGTTACTTTGGTGCACTTCATAATTATTTTTAATAATATGCTGACTACACAATTCGCCTGTAATGAAGCAGGGGTGTAGTAATTGTTGCTGCTACTAGAAATGTCTAAGTTTGCTATTCCCCAACGTTTTGGAAATAATCATTGTACCACCTAATAAATATTAATTAATATTACAATACATACTTGAACGTAGGCAAAGGCGTAGTATTGTAAATTAAGAAGAAAAATATTAAATAAAAAGATTACAAAATCATAAAGAATAATATATAATTTAATTGTAATGTTGTTTCAATAATGATTCTCATTTGTTAAATAATATAAATTAATAGTAAGATTAAATATTGAAGTTTCTGCATGCATAGAAATGTGATTTAATGTCTATAACAACAATAATATAACTATTATTCTTCTATAGCTTCTGATGATTATTATTATTTTATTATAATAATAATAATATGTTTAATGTTTATTCATATTTATGCTATACTGTTATATTTTATACATATTCAAATATTTATACCACATTTTACATTCAGAGTATTGTCATTTTTGATGAACTATTTTGGTTTTGGATTAAAAAAATTAGCATGTTTTAATAACAAAAAAACTTTTAATGTTTATTAGGTTTATAAATAGGTTATTAATGCAGAAATAATAATAATAATGTTTTTTGGCCAATTCAGAAAATGATTTTCATTGAATGCATATGTACTTATTTATTTTTATTATATTTTTTAATTTAGTATAATTTAATTTGGTTATAGGAATTATAATTGATTATTAAATTCCATAATTGATGCCATTTTACACCCCTGTGTCACCTATCATTACGTGGTTTCCTGGAAGAATGCATTTTCCCATGAATGATTGCTAATCTTCAAATAATATTTTAAATGCTTGAGAGGTTATGGGTGACGTCCTTGAAGACCATGCTGCTCATAATTTTTTTTTTCTTGTTAAAATGGCAAAAGGTGTGAACTGCTTATATCCCTGTCATTCATTAATATTCTTTTGAAGAGTTTCCTTCTGATTTCCTTTTCGTGTCCCGTCTGCATGTCCTCTCTCAGACTTCCTTTTGATATATCTCCTTGCTCATTTCTTTGTCCTTTACATCTGCCTTTGTCTATCTGCCGCTTCATCTCTCATGCATGGCGTTTTGACGTGGATCCGTTTCCACAAGGTGGGTTTTATTGGATAAAGGTGTCAGATGTCAGGTGACAAGTGCAATCCGAGAGAGGAAATGGTGACTGGTGAACCATTATGCACGCTTGCATGTCATTTGTTTCTGTTCATTTTGAATCAGTGATGTTGCCAAACATTATTGATGGGCATTTTGTATCATCAGCCCCTTAAAGGCAACATATAGAACACCTTTAACATATTTTGTATACATATTTGTAAAATTTTACGGGAAAAAATTACTGAATGTACCTACTGAATGTGACAAGCACAGTTTTCCTCTGGTTATTTTCCATCTGTTTTTCTTTCTCAGTTCCAGCTTTTTTTTTTTTTTGGTCTTTATTTCCTCAGGCGTTTTTCACAGCAGGGTCAGGGCCGGGGCGAACAAGAAAGGTGGCATTCACCCACCTCGCTGAGGTAGAGGCGGGAAGTGTGTCGATGAGGCCAGCCGAACACACAGAGAAAAACTCAGCCATGATGTATATGTTTTCTAGGTTAAATAACGCTTAAACTATCCATAACCTGCCCTGCCACCTTCACACATCAATGTATGCAAATTTAATGATAAATCAAAGAGAGACGTGCAGATCAATTGTTTAAATTTTTTTTTTATGTTTTCCCTCAGAACAAATCCTTAGAATGGGCCTAAATCCTGGACATTCACAATGCATTTAACTTGTGTAATGTGCTGTACTATGTCAGAATACAAAATATAACAGCATGTTTGGTGGGAATAATGTTGTTTGGTAAAGTCAAAGTTTGGAGTAAATTTTTTTTGTCTAATTTATTTGATCAAAAATGCAGTAAAAACTGACTGTAAAATTGTGAAAAGTTATTATAATGTAAAATAACTGTTTTCTATTTGAATATATTTTCAAATGTAATTTATTCCTGTGATGGTAAAGCTGAATTTTCAACAGCCATTACACCAGTTTTTAGTTTCACATGATCCTTCAGAAATCATTCTGATATGCTGATTTGCTGCTCAATTATCTATAATGTCTATAATTATCTATAATTATCTATAATAATTATCTATAATTATTATTATTATTATAAACTTTGATTTTTTTTCAGGATTCTTTGAATAGAAAGTAAAAAAACAGCTTTTATTTGAAGTAGAAGTCTTTTGTAACATTATAAATGTTTTTTGATTAATTAAATGCATCCTTGCTGAATAAATGTATTAATTTCTTGAGTAATGGCTGCTGAAAATTCAGCTCTTTCATCACGGGATATTAAAATAAAAAGTTCTTTATAAATTGTCTTTTTTAAATTACAATATTACTGTTTTATTGTATTTTTGTTCAAATAAATGCAGCCTTAGTGAGTATAAAAGAGAAGTATAGGAAGTGTAATCTTAATTATTCATAACTTATGTCTTTCACTACCTACGTGATGTTAAATTCTTGACTTTAGAGTTTTGACTCATAGAAGAACAAATACAATAGACCTGATCTCCGTTTCAATATACCTTGGAGATTTGTGTTCGAATAGATTTGTTTTTAAAATGAACAAATTGGTAGAAGGTTGTGTAAAATATAAAGTAGCTTGATGCTGCATTGGCAGTGGGTGCCTATAAAGCAAAACTTGAGTGTATCTGCACAGAACTGGCTGATGAATATGAATGAATTCTCATGAGTGGGCAGTCCAGGTTATGTAGCAACATCTGCATGATCCAGTTAATATTCATTAGCTCAGCCATTACTTATTGTGACATCATAATGAGCTTCAAAACCTTTTGTCTTTTTTTTTGTCTTTATGATAACCTGAACTGATGAAGCGTGCACAGTAAGGCAAGCAGATTGGGGACAATTTGATTTCATATTGCCGTCTACCATTAATTACAGTCCTTTTTATTGTCATTTTGTATTGTTCAAATGACACTTTGGGCTTTTCTGATAACACTGAATAATATGTTCCTGATTAATTGTTAATGAATACATTCATTGGCATACAGTGAGCAGACACATGTTGCATGTTCTGTGGACTGTGCAAGTTGATTAGATGAGGGCGTTTTGTCCAAAAAGGCAGAGAAAAGAGCCTTAACTTCTCCTGGGCTCCTTTATCAGGTCCCTCCTGTAATTGCACGTTTGGCACAAAAGACTTACTCCTCAACATCAATTAGAAGTGCACAAAAAGCGCAGGCCAGAAAGAAAGAGATGTGGGTGAAAGAAATTAAGAAGGAGAGCGATAAAGCGCTGTGAAGACAAAAAAAGGAAAGTCATGATAATGTCTGACTGATGTTCTGAAACATCTGCATCTCACGTCCCCTCCATTAGCGAGATGGGTTCTGTTTAGGGCTGTGAATCTTTGGGTAGACAGCGAATCGATTTGATTCACGATTCATAGATTTTCGATTCGAGAAAGATTTTTGCAAATTTAGAACAATTCGATTCGATTAATAATTTGATTCTGCATTCTTTAAGTGCATTGACAGGATTATTGAAATGCTTCCCCTAAATTCTTTAAATGCTTAGTCAGGGGGCAAATTACACAGCAGCCTTTATGGTTACATAAACCATAGGTTAGAGAGAAAAAAAAAACACTTTTGTCCATTGTTAGATGCTAGTTTAATTATGCTATGGCATGACATGGCATATGTAGAAATTTATTTAAGCCAAGATTTTTAAAAAAAGAGCTTTAAAAAAAGTATTATGTATAGGCTAACATTTTCTTTAAGTGCATTGACAGGATTATTGAAATGCTTCCCCTAAATTCTTTAAATGCTTAGTCAGGGGGCAAATTACACAGCAGCCTTTATGGTTACATAAACCATAGGTTAGAGAAAAAAAAAAACACTTTTGTCCATTGTTAGATGCTAGTTTAATTATGCTATGGCATGACATGGCATATGTAGAAATTTATGTAAGCCAAGATTTAAAAAAAAAAGAGCTTTAAAAAAAGTATTATGTATAGGCTAACATTTTGTCACACCGGGGGTATAGCCATCATTTCAGAAGTGACAGAAATGTCAAATACAATAATTTTATGTATGTATTATAATATATATTTTTTTACAAGGAATTATTTTCTTAACTCTTACTTTGAATTTGCTATAAGAAATCAAATATACTTCTGGACAAGAATCAATCATTTGCAATCTATAATTTTTTCCTAATGGCAAATTTATGATTGTTTTATGTACTGCAAACAATTATTTCAATTTTCTGCACAGAATAAGGTAGAAAATATATTTTATAGTTTTTGTACTGTAATAAATGATATGTCAATTAATTAGCACTGCATCATTCATAAATTGTATTTATTTATTGTGCTTATTGTCTTAACATTTCATCAGTTCATTCTGCTTTTTATTCAGATTTGCTGCAGATATAGCCTGGCACGTCTTAAGTTCTATGAGCGCGAGATCACTTCTCTTTCAGTGCAAAAACTTTCTTATCTAATTTTTATAAAATAAAATGCTATAGTATATAACTTCTCTCCATCGGCGAATGATGATTCTGAAAGAAAACATGCCCGATATCTGTTTGCTATAGCAACAAACACTACTTTCATGCATCTGATTATCAGATAAACCTTGCGCACTTATTTCAAGGTTGCTGTTAA